ACCTATGAACCAGGAGATCACGGTTCGATTCCCGGTCAGGGCACATGCCCGGGTTGCAGGCTCGATCCCCAGTAGGGGCCATGCAGGAGGCAGCCAATCAATAATTCTCTCTCATCACTGATGTTTCTCTTTCTCCCTCTCCCTTCCTTTCTGAAATCAATAAAAATATATTTTTAAAAAATAGTAAAGTAGAGGTTATATTTCTTGAGATGGATGAGAGATGCTTTATTTAAAAACAAAACTGCCCTACCTGTTTGGCTCAGTGGATAGAGCGTCGGCCTGCGGACTGAAAGGTCCCAGGTTCAATTCTGGTCAAGGGCATGTACCTTGCTTGCGGGCACAATCCCAGTGGGAGGTGTGCAGGAGGCAGCTGATCGATGTTTCTCTCTCATTGATGTTTCTAACTATCCCTCTCCCTTCCTCTCTGTAAAAAATCAATAAAATTTATAAAAAATAAATAAATAAAACCAACATCCATGAATCAGAAAAAAAAATGTGTCTTCTGCCTTCTCTAAAATTGCCAGAGCATAAAATCTCAATGTCGCCAAATTAGTTACTGCTTTTGAAAAGGTACATCTCCTAGTTCATTCAAGATGAACAAGGTCAGATTTAAATGCAACTGGGTTCTACTAGTGTATGTTTTTTAGTCATAATTAGTCATGTAAACACGAGGCTTTTCACATGAAAAGAGTAATTCTGGGTTACGATACTATTGCCAACTGTAACATGGGGGGAAATTACACCAATTAAAGCAGCTTTAATTAAATCATTGCAAGCAGAAAACAGTTGTGGTTGCAAATTTTAAGCTCATTGCTATTCTTATTTAACCTTTTTTAGAAAACTATTCTACTTTGTCTGTTTTCACCGCCGAGCTCAGAAGCGCCAATCTCATCTTTAGAATGGCTTCTTGAAGAAAAAAGAATTATAGGCAGGTTTTAAGTTACGTGATAAATGCCACCACCGAATTGTCTGAGGTATTCAAGAGGCACTTCAGTGACCCCTTTCTCCCATGTTTAATTTATTTTTTTCATTTTTCCCACTTTTTTTTATAGCTCACACTTAACATGATGATTACACACAATAACTTGAAAGCATGTACCACGCATACAGTCTCTCATTTCTGTTTCTAAATGTCTGTGCTTAAGGGCAGATTACCATACGAAGTTGGAAAAACTTTCTTTGAACTTTTGGTTGGTTCATTTCTCTTTCAGACCCACAGAGCACAAAACCATTAACTTTATTTCATACAAATGTTTTGCTTACAGTCAGGGTGTCCGTAAAGTTCTTGGCTTCATGAATTCAATATGACTGATATTATGATACAGTTCTGGCAAGTATGGTTACAAGTAAACGTAATTAGCCTCTCATCATCCTTTTTTTAAAATTTTAAATTCTTTATTGCTTAAAGTATTACATAAAGTCTCCTTTTTCCCCCCATTGACCTCTCCCCGGCCGCCCCCACCCCCCAGAATGTGCTCTCCCCCCCTGACCCCCCCCGCCCCGTCTGTGTCCATTGGTCATGCTCATATGCGTGCATACAAGTCCTTTGGTTGATCTCTTATCCCTCACCCCCCACCTTCCCTCATAGGTGGGACAGTCTGTTCAATGCTTCTATGACTCTGGTTCCATTTTTGTTCATCAGTTTATGTCGTTCATTATTCTTTTTTAAAAAATATATTTCATTGATTTTTTTTACAGAGAGGAAGGGAGAGGGATAGAGAGTTAGAAACATCGATGAGAGAGAAACATCGATCAGCTGCCTCCTGCACACTCCCCACTCCCCACTGGGGATGTGCCCGCAACCAAGGTACATGCCCTTGACCGGAAGCAAACCTGGGACCCTTGAGTCCACAGGCTGACGCTCTATCCACTGAGCCAAACCGGTTAGGGCAGTCGTTCATTATTCTTAAGAACATTAGGGACCTAGCTAGGTTTCAAGGCAGTGAATTTTTATTTCCTCAGTGGTTGGGCGTTCCCTGCCCGGGGTTCCCTCTTGAATCATTACTTCCTCTCCTCAGCGGTGTAGCTGTGTAGGACGCGTCTCTATCATTTCGCTGAGAGCATGGGGGCGGGGGGGGGGCGCGAGTGGGGGACACCCTTTCACCTGAGCCGAGTTAGAAATACATCACAAGCACCCAAGTGACAGCTAAGCTGTTTGAGCGAAAAGGCTAATTATGAATTCCTGGGGAAAGAGCCGTGTGTTGGAGTCCAGTAGCCTCTTTCATCTTGGGAGCTGACACATGACCGTGAACGTGAGCATCACCTCTACCAGCGGGAAGACAGGCTCATAAGCAGCCACTGCTTGACCCTCAGGGTTTGAAAGAAACAATTCCGCTGAGAAGCAAGCAGAGGAGTCTCTGCATTAAGTGAAGAAAATCATCAGAATGTCTTAGCTTATAGCACATTAAGCTCTCCTGTGCCACCATTTTTGACTCGGCCTATTTTTTACACCAAATGTTAGATTTTTTTTTTTTAAGTATTTCCAACATCTGAAGGCAAAATCTTAAATCAACTTGGATTTTTGCTCTGGATCGCTCAGAAAAATAAAACGTGTGCCATTAGTTAAAATTTCATGTCTCTTCCTTTATTCTTGAGCCTCCCTGTGGGCCAGCACTTTCTGTATTAGCCAGGGGTCCTCAAACTTTTTAAACAGGGGGCCAGTTCACTGTTCCTTAGACCGTTGGAGAGCCGGACTATAGTTTAAAAAAAAACTATGAACAAATTCCTATGCACACTGCACATATCTTATTTTGAAGTAAAAAAAACAAAACGGGAACAAATACAATATTTGTATTTGCATGTGGCCCGCGGGCCGTAGTTTGAGGACCCCTGGATTAGCAATACAAAAATGGGCAAGGTGAGGTTTCTCTCCTCCAGAAGTTCAAGTCTAAGGGAAAACCGATAGTTTGAGAGTGACAATAACAGCAATGTGAAGAGTTCCATAATAGAGGTATAAAACATTTTAAACAAATTGAGCTGCAGATATTCTCCAAATTACTTTGCAAGAGACCATTGTTTTTACATACTCTTTTCAGAGAATAGCTCATTAGCTTGCATAGATAAAGGATTGCTTTTGCAAAGAGGATTTCATCTCAATTCAATTCAATATTGGGATCCACTAATGAACTTCAAGAGGCAAATTCATCAAGCAAATATGAGAGCAGAAACATTTTCATTTTGTCAGAAATAGATGCAATCTCATTTCCCCTTTCTTCTAAATATTATTTTTTCCCCATCGTTTTCATAGTCCTTGCTTAGATGCAGAAATTATTCTTCCTGACATGTCTTCTAGCCAAACCCCCTATCTTCCAGATGCCAGCACACAGTCGGTCTTCTGCAGGAAATCTAAGCTGGTCCATGGGCATCTTTGTCTGCTTTGTGATGGGCAATTTATTACTCCAGTAAATGCCTGGCATTTGACCACAGCTGTCTTTGCCAACTGGATTATAAAGGAAAGCGTCTGTGGCATTCTAGTACAGTGATGAGGAAAGACGATGATGATGATGGCAATGATGATGATGATGAGAGCATTATGGCAAATATCTAATGAGCATTGTTCCATTAATTATCACCTGTAATAAGATGCACACTATTATTATCCCTCTGTTACAGATGGAAAAAACGGAGTCTTAGAGCAATAGCGTAACTGATCCATTTCATTCTGTTTGCACTGATGTTACAGTGCGCTGACAGTTGCAAACAGATATATTAGTAGAAGGTCCTGTTCAGTTTTATCCACTCATCTCTCTGTCTCCGGTTGGGAGATAGGTAGATAGATAGATAGATGATAGATAGGTAGATAGATGATAGATAGATAGATAGATAGATAGATAGATAGATGATAGATAGATAGGTAGGTAGATGATAGATAAATAGATAGATAGATAGATAGATAGATAGATAGATAAATGATAGGTAGATGATAGATAGATGATAGATAGATAGATAGATAGATAGATAGATCTATTACTCGTATCTAGGTAATGGGTAATATACATCTTCTTTTGAGATACTGGAATCTTTTGGACTTAAATTGTCCCAAAGAGCCCTAGCCGGCTTGGCTCAGTGGATAGAGCGTCAGCCTGCAGACTGAAGGATCCCAGGTTCGATTCCGGCCAAGGGCACATGCCTGGGTTGCGGGCTCGATCCCCAGTGCGGGGTGTGCAGGAGGCAGCCGATCAATGATTCTCTCTCATCATTGATGTTTCTATCTCTCTCTCCTTCTCTCTTCCTCTCTGAAATGAATAAAGAAAAATATTTAAAAAATGCTTATTTAAAAAATAAATAAATAAATTGTCCCAAAGAATTTGATCATTGATTAGAGTTACTTTTCATAGCCCCTCGTCCCCCTGGCTGCCCAGCTTGCTCTATGAGTTGGTCTGCTTTGAACATTCTCCTCATCCAATTGGCTATTGCTAATCGTGAGAAAGCAGGTAACCCAGTGAGTAAAAACCATGCTTGATAGGAAATCGTCGGAGTGAATGCGTAAGGGAATTTCCGTAAATGCAGCAGATGCATTTTTACACGTGGCCCTCGGGACTGATTTTAGCTTTTAGGAACTAGATTTTTTCCGTCTGTCTTTGCCTCAAGAGGAAACCCAAACGGTGGCTTCTAGGGCTTCTGTTTTCCTTCTCGGTGAGTTCAGGAGAGAGAATAATACTAATGAAGTGTGCATTTTGCTATGACAGTGGTCTCTGACAGTTACAGAAATAAGCACTTTTATCTCAACCTTTCCAAGCAGAGCATGTACAACTAGGAGAGAAGCATTATTCACAACGCCTCTTAGTAGGTTAATGGAGCCTGAAATGGCCACTCTCCCTGCTGTTTTCTCCATCATTTTTAACCAAACTTCAAATATGAATGTTTCAGAGTCTCGCAAGGTAGGAGTATCCCATTATTCTTAGCTGAGCACGACGGATGTACAACATTGTTATGAAAACTGGTTTTTATGAAAAATGCAACTTCTGAAAGGTTTTCATTGTTTTGTCATTGTCATGTAGATGGAGGACGTCATAGCACGCATGCAAGATGAGAAAAACGGAATTCCCATTCGCACTGTCAAAAGCTTTCTTTCCAAGATCCCTAGCGTCTTCTCTGGTAAGTTTGGCTCCGTATGGCTCTGTGTTGTCCATGTCTTCCCCAGAACTAAAATCTCGTCTAGCTTTTCACTCAGGAAACTCTCAAACGCATGACTCAGTCGCTACTGACAAAATGCTAACGCCATTTCACATCATGTTGGACACTTGAGATGATGATAAAACAAAACAAAGGAGCAGAAATCATGACCCCATGCTTAGTTGCAAAGACATAGAGAACGAAGGCGAAAGGACAGAAACAATCTCAAAATAAAGATGTTTGGGGCAAACGTGATGTCGACTGTAGATAGGAGTTAGAAGAGTGAAAAAAAATCAATTGCGGGGGGGAGTCAGGAGAATATTTGTGAAGATCAGTGATGAGCTGAGTTTCAAAAATGAGCCCACCGGTGTGGCTCAGTGGTTGAGCATCAGCCTATGAACCAGGAGGTCACGGTTCGATTCCCAGTCAGGGCACATGCCCGGGGTTATGCGCTCGATCCCAAGTAGGGGGCGTGCAGGAGGCAGCCGAGCAATGATGCTCTCTCATCATTGATGTTTCTCTCTCTCTATTTCTCTTTCTCCCTTCATCTCTGAAATCAATGAAAATATATTTAAAACAGAAACAAAATCTTTAACAAGACTCCCTACCCGACGGTCACACTAGCCTCATGGAATGTTCCCTCTTGCTTTCTTGGTCTTAGCCACAGAGGCCACTGTTCATTTCTGATACTTCACTCAACTCTCCGTTGCCATGGCCACCTTCCACCACAGAGCTGTTTCTTCTATCTGGAATGCTTCCTCCCCTTTGCTGGGGGTGGGGGGTCCCTCCATTCCCTTTGCTCAACTTAGACCTACTCATCTCAGGGCTACCCCAGTTTCCTTCCTTAAATACACTCATCCAGCCTCAGGTAGTACCTCCGGAAATACCCACCGCCACCACCTCACGCCCCGCAAATTCACCGAAAGCGAGACACGTCTATTGGCATGCCACCCCGTGACCCTTCAGGGCGTGTGTGTGTTCTCTCATATGCCGGACAGTCAATATTGGGGTGATTCTAGATCCTGGTGAAGCAAGCCTTCCCCTGTTGGATGCATTTCATGTCTTTCAATGGATTGACCGGGAGCTGGCTGTGTTCCCCATGTAGCCACAGCAGGCAGCGAGCCGGAATTCTCTCTTCGGTTCCCTGTGAATGGTGTAGGTTTTCATTAAAATTGAATATGCCACGGAGATCAGAAAGGCTTGCCGGTGGCAGCTATCAAAGAAAACGGGCTGTTTAACGTTTCTGAAGGTTGAACTTTTAGGGCATGAATTCTCCGGAGCCAGAGAAGCTGGTGCGCGCTCCAAATCGCTAAGCACCGTCAATGGGGAAATCGTCAGAAATGAGGAGGGAGTTCCGGCCGGCCATTCCTCTAGTTCACGCAGAGCTCTTTTCTGGTTTTTTATTATTAGTTTGAAACGGTGCTTCATTCCAGGAATGTAGGTGATTATGGAGTTGAATCTCTTTGCTCCTTTTCTTTTGTAATTTCAAACGATTCCTCACTGACTTGGTCCTCATTTAGGAGGAGCAGGATTTGTGGTCTCTGATGCAGGGCTGTTCTCAGCCATGAAACCCGAGGGGTATATATGAACTTAAAAAAATCAAGTTGCCTTGAGTCCTGGCCAGTTTTCTCAGTGGTTAGAGCATTGGGCCTCAGACTGAAGGGTCTCGGGTTCGATTCTGGGTCAAGAGCATGTGTCTCGGTTGCAGGCTCGATCCCTGCCCTGGTCGGGGCACGTGAGGGAGGCAACCAATCAATGTGTCTTTCTCACATCAATGTTTCTCTCTCTGTCTCTTCCCTTCCCTTCCACTCTCTCCAGGATTACCAAAACAAAACAAAAAAATCAAGTTGCCTTTAAATGTAATAATTTAAGCGTGTCCTTTATTTCTCTAAGGGTCGTATGGATATTTCTTAGTGTCATGGAGAGATGATCTTTGTAGATTTAACCTTATGTTGTGGGTCACGGCGCAGGTAAGGAGGAAAAGGAGCAAGCTTGGTGACGTGAGCTGGGCCAACGCAACTTTTAGTAGCTACGTAGTTTGCATCTAAATGTTTTTGAGAACCGCTTTCAAGATGCCTTATATGACTTAAAACTGATTATTTTTAGAGTCAGTGTTGAGACAGTAAGAATAAGGAAGGTGGAATAGATTTCCTTGGGAGACTCTAAGACTAGGTACTTCTGAGATGCTTTAAGAACCTAAGACACTTCTTTTTACTGTGAAATATTTTCTGTCTACCCTTGGGATGCCTATCCTGGATCTGACAGAAATTCAGAGAGAAACAGATTGCTTTTTGAAAACAATTCTCAAATCTTTGGGCAGAAATGGTGCTTCGAATATGTTGTTTGTATGCCATCCCAAAGAAAACTCAAGAATGCAGAAGGGAAATGTATGAACAGTTCCTAGGAGAAAAAAAGTGCCTTGACTATACTGGCAGTTCTTCAAGTCCAGTTCTGAAACAAATAAATTCAGGGGCAAAACAAGAAATGTTAACTAGATCGGCAAGAGACGTGAACATTGGCCACAAAGAAAGAAAAAAAGTCTTATTATTATTATTCTTTTTTGGTCATCTGGTCCACCTCTCTGGTAAAATGACAGGGCGACTGGCGTAGAGCAACTACACAGTCCACTCAGCTGGGAACACGAGAGGCTGAGCCGCCACATAATCAAGGAGATAATTTAATTTGTCTCTGCTGTGACAGTCTTCACCCCTCTCGGTTGTCATCCTTTCTTTCTCGTAAAATAGCAACACGCATGATTAGAAGCAGCGAAGAACTCCCAGGCACCGGTCCTAGGTCATGGCCTTTCTAATGGCCAGATGCTGCTGAGGAATGAGAAGCTTAGTTAGCTGTTTCGTGGGCTCTCGCTGCATTTGTCGAGAAATGATTTACTTCCAAACGCGGCTGCATCCGTTTGATCTGACCAAGAGGAAAAGCAAGCTCTGACTCATTTTGCCGCCACCAGAATGCTAGGCGAAACGGCAAGATTTCAGGGATTTTATTTTTAGCGGTAGCTTTCTCTACCGCCATGCGGACTGGGCCCAGAAACGCTTTTCTCTTTCATGGGAACTGTAGATGCTGGTCTGCTTCCTGCAATGCTTTCTTAGCATCTAAATTTGCTACTTTATTTATTTTTTATTTATTTTAAAATATATATATTTTATTGGTTTTTTACAGAGAGGAAGGGAGAGGGACAGAGAGTTAGAAACATCGATCAGCTGTCTCCTGCACACCCCCTACTGGGGTTGTGCCCGCAACCTAGGTACATGCCCTTGACCGGAATCGAACCTGGGACCCTTCAGTCCACAGGCCGACGCTCTATCCACTGAGCCAAACCGGTTAGGGCTATTTTTTATTTTTATTTTTTTTATTTCAGAGAGGAAGGGAGAAGGAGAGAGAGATAGAAACATCAATGGTGAAAGAGAATCATTGATTGGCTGCCTCCTGCACCGCCCCTACTGGGGTGGGGCATCGAGCCTGCAGCCCGGGAATGTGTCCTGACAGGGAATCAAATGAATGACCTCCTGGTTCATGGGTCAATCGATGCTCAACCCCTGAGCCACGCCGGCCGGGCCATTCCTGTCTTTGTGTTTCCCAGCACTGTGTTCTTCTTCATGGGATTTATTTCACCTGGCAATTTATCCTCAATGGACATGTGACACGATTCTTACCAAAGGCCATACACATCTGGAGAAGAAAAGAAATGGTGCATTTCAATGTGTAGCCCCTGTGGTACATGCAGTGTCCGGCACATACAGACACTCAGCCAATGTTAACGACTTCTCTTAGGACAGCTGATGGCGCGGACATTCGATTACACCCACGACACATCTCACTGCTCAGCGTCTCGGCCGTGGAAAGAGCACACATCTCATTATTTGCTCTGTCGGCATCCAGCGCTGCACGATGCTTTTATCTCTGCGGGGAGCACTGAAAAGATGGCATCTCTGCTCCGTTGGCGATTACTAGCTTCGATGGGCTGCAGAGTGGAGTACCAGGAAATTGAACGCAATTTTCCAATTTCTCCAGAGTCCAAACACACTCTCCGTTGAAGTTTTGTTATCTGGTTTACGCATCGACTCGCAAAGATAGACTCAGCCCGGTGTGCCCTGCAGCACTGTTTGCGGTGGCCCGTGGCAACAACCACAGTGTCCTTCGATAGAGGATTGGACAAGGAAGCTGTGGTACATATGCACTAGGAACTGCTCACTCGCAAGAGAAGATGCAATACTGCCATTTGCAAAAACATGGATGGATCTTGAGAATATCGTGCTAAGCGAAAAGAGTCAGACAGAACAGGCTCAAAACCATCTGATCTCACTTATATGTGGGATATAAAACTGAAACTCATAGACACAGGCAATAGTGTGGTTACCAGAGGGAAAAGGGGATGGGGGGTAGTAAAAGGTAAAGGGGGCCAAATATATGGGTGATGAAAGATGATTTGACTTTTGGTGGTGGGCACACGATGCAATATATGGAGCATGTATCATTGAAATGTACACTGAAAGCAATTTTATTAAGCAATATCACCCAACAAATTTAATTTTAAAAAGTTGATTTTTTTTTAGAACACTGGACATCCCCAAAATTAATGTAAATATTTTTCAAAGTCTATCTGAAATAGTGAAGAGGCTATATACAGGTTGGAAAGAAACCTGGATTTCAGTTTTACTTCTCGTGATGCAAAGGAAAACAGGAAATCTATATATATAAAAGCCTAATACGCTAAGTGTCTGACCGATAGGTCAACCGTTTGGTTGACTCGTCGACCAGGCGCTATGATGTGCACTGACCACCAGGGGGCAGACACTCTGACCAGTAGGTTAGCTTGCTGCTGGGGTCTGGCCAAACAGGACTGGGCGAGATGGGCTGGACACGCCCTGAAACCTCCCACAGTCCTTCCCTGGCCAGTTGGCCCCGATCGGCCCTGATCGCTGGCCAGGCCGAGGGACCCCCCCACCCATGCACGAATTCATGCACTG